AGTCTCCCCACCATCTCTGGAGATCTCCCCACCATCTCTGCAAGTCTCCCCACCATCTCTACAAGTCTCCCCACCATCTCTGCAAGTCTCCCCACCGTCTCTGAGAGTTTCTCAACAGCTTCTTCAGCCTCTGGGGGTTTTCCCAGTAGTCCTCCGACTTCAGCTCCTACTGTTTCTGGCGGCGTTTCGGGAACAGTGTCCACACCATCAGGTGATATTTCTGTTGCTCAATCCATCTTCAGAGAACTCTTCAGCTCAGCCTGGAGCTCTGGGGTGGGGCTTCCTGTGCTCTCCGAGTAAGTCTGGTGGTTTCTTAGAACCTCACTGGAAGCAGCTCCCTTGCCTTTGTGGCTACACAAGGGCCCTTCTTTCTGTTTTTCAATTTATCAGCTTTTTCTCTTGTGGTTAGTGCCTTTCGTATCCTGCCTAAGACATTTTTTTTGCCTACTTCGAGGTCATGAAAATATTCCATGCATTTTTCCAGAAGCTTTATTATTTTAGCTTTCAAATTTAAGCCTACGATCTACCTCAAATTAATTTCTGTGTGTGGAGTGAGGTAGAGGTCAAGGTTCATTTTTTCCCCCTTACGAATATCCAGTTACCCCAGAGCCATTTGTTTCAGACCCTCCCCTGTCCTACCTCTGAGCCGTGAGAGCACCTTTCCCTAGAGCCATGTGACCACATCGCTGTGGGTCTGCCTGTGGCTCCTTACCCCGCCGCCATGGTGCTCAGGGCTGTGGCGCCACGGCGCGTCTTGAGATCTGGTGGTGGAGGTCCCCCGCTTTCGTTTCTCTTTAAGAAACAATCCTTTGATTCACACAGAATCAGTTCCTCACTTTCCACCAAAAACTTGCTAGGGTCTTGGCTGTGAGTGCATTGGCTATGGCTTCTGTTCTGCCCTCGCTTGGGTCTCTTTAGCAGTCTCTTCCCTCTGTCCTCCCAGGACCTGTCTCCTCTGCGGCTCCTGGAACTGCTCCAACTGTGCCTGGGACTTCTGTGTCAAGTGTGGCTGTCTCAGGAGGTCCCACTGCCACCACGGCTGGAGCGGCCACCACGTCCCCTGGGCTCAGCATCCCGACCAGTAAGGCGCCCTCATTGGCATTGGGTCTTACAGTGAAAGGCTGGTGGGGCCTGTTCTCTCTTACTCCCCGGCAGCCACCCCCGGCCCCTGCGGGTGAGTTGAGGGACAGTCATGAGTGCCTGCTTTCAACTGCATTTCGAGCCTGTCTGAGGATGCCTCTTAAACACCTCTATCTTAAAGGGGTTTTGTGGCCCACTCGAGCCTCTGGTCAGACCAGTGGCCAGATGTCAGTTACCTGACTGCTGCCTTCAAAGGCTCTCCTCTTTCTTCCCCACGGCCCGCTCTGTCTGCCCAGCCCGGGAAGCATCCCCTCCAGAGAGCCTGCCCTCCTCCCTCCCTCTGGCTTCCCACTCCCCTCCCCTTCGTTCCTGGCAGAGGGATCTTGGGGAGCCCCGAGGAAGTCTGAGAGCAGGAAAGGAATGGAGGGGAGACAGGGCAGCAGGCTCTGGTCCCCCAGAGGACCCGAATCAGGGTGGGCAGAGGGGAGCACTGGGGATCCGAGGAAGCAGAGGGCCCATGTGGGACCCTCACAAGTCAGAGGCCTCACAGATCCAGGGACAGGGACAACAGAGCCTGAGACCTGCAGGGGGTCAGCACGGAGAGGTGTGTATGTCTGTGAGCAGTCTGGGGACCGACAGACACGTGCACAGGTGTCGGGGAAATGGGGACTGGGGCTTGGGTTGAAGCCCTTTAGAAGCCCCCATTGAGCTTCTGCTTCGAAGGTGACAGGAGCGAGCACCACAGAGAGATGTGGTCTCAGAGCCACACAGACATCAGAGTCACAGAGAGAAAGATGGAAAGTCACAGGGGGCGGTGGGGTGTGGGGCACTGGAAGTACCACCTGCCTCAGTCACTGTCCCTCTCTTTGCGCCTCAGGTCTGGAACCTCAGAAGAAGGACTCTGTCCCAGACTGGGCCATCGTGCTGATCACTCTCACTCTGGTGGCAGCGATTGTCAGCCTACTGTATGCTATGAAGAAGGTGAGTGAAGCTGTGGCCCAAGAGTGCGGGTCCTCAAGGCCAGTGGGGCTGGGACCTGGCGCCCCAGGACTCCGAGGACAGGCTTCACGGAGGAGGATAACGAAGGAGCCCTGGTCCCGGTGGCTGAGAGAAGATGTTGGCCTGGCAGGGAGGAGGAGCTGTGGGCCCTGAGAGAGAGGCTGGGCAGGGAGTGCTGGGGCTGAGCAGCCGAGGGAGGCACGAAACTCGAAACTCAGCTCCCGGCAGTTGAAGAACCAGCTCTGCGGAGCCACATTAACCTGGGTTTTGGGTCCTTGCTCTGCCATTATAACTGTGTGACCTTGTGCAAGTTCCTTAACCTCTCTGTGCTCCAGATCCTCCAATACTAAGTCATACTTAAACAGCACTTAATACTTGCTGGTGCTGTACATACCATAGTCCACAGCAACCCAGCAGTACGGTAATGGCATTAGCCTTGGTTTTACGGCATGGTAACCGAGTCCTGGCTGAAATGAGAACAGACCCACCTCACAGGGTGGAGGGGAGGACCACATGAGTGGTCCTTTGGCACATAAAGCACCTAGCGGTGCTGGGCACACGGTAGTGCTCGGTGCCTATTCTTATTCGTTATTACTGTTTTGCTCAAAGAGAAACACTGAGCGCCTGGGTGGCTGGGGGAGGCGCGGTCCCAGGAAGGGCTGAGGGCTGGCTGGCAGTGCCGGGTCCTCAGCTGACCCACCCCAACGTCCCTCATCTCACAGGCCTGCCAGTTCCGGAAGGAGATGAGTCTGGGGTGTGGCTGTGGCTCTGTGACCCCTTACAGCTGCCACCACGAGGCCGCCAGCCAGCGCTACTCCGTCAAATGACAGGCGGGGCCAGGGTAGCAGAAGGCGCCTGCCCTTCGGCTTCCCTCTTCCTCTCCCAAGTAGACTCATTCCTGGCTCACCTGTCCCTTCACCTGGCTGGGAGCATGTCCTGCAGGTGCATTCCTGGCCTCACCGGCCCCCTAGGTCTCCCCCACTGACGGCGTAAGGGGGAGCCCACGGTCAGTCACAAGAATCTGGTTCCGGACCTGGGAAGGGGCTGCCCTCACACCTCCCTCCGCAGGGAGCCCCCTCAGGACAGGCGAGGAACGCTCCTCTTTGATGGTCCCTTAGACCACTCTGGGAGGGTGTCGGGCACAGTTCTTGCTAAATAAAACAGCACTTCCTCCACTGGTCTCCCAGCCGCGATCTTTGCCCGAGTGCATGGGCTTTGTCACGCAGGCACCCACGGGCCAAGTCTGGTCCACTTGCCAGGTGTGTGACCTTGGGCAGGTCACTTCCCCAATCCGAGTCTTGTTTACCCTCATCTCTAAAATGAGGATGACACTGCCAACCTCATGAACTATAACCCATAGGTGAGGAGCTTGGCACGTTCTTCAGTACACAGAAATGTCCCAATACCTGGCCGCTTGGCCTCCAGCTCAGACAAGCAGTAACTTCCTGCAAGAGCCCTCGTTGGGCCTCTACCTGCCTCCAGAAGCCTGTGTCCTTGGGCTTGAGTAGGGGCTGAAAGAGAAGGGAAGGGGATGTTTATTCACAAAGACTGGTTAATGCTCATTCCAAAGCAGAGATTCTCAACTTCAGCACTGTCGACGTACTGGGCTGGATGGTTCTCTGTTGTGGAGACTGTTCCGTGCGTTGTAGGATGTCTAGCAGCATCTCTGGCCTCTGCCCCCTAGATGCCAGTAGAACCCCCTCCAAGTCACGACAGGAATGTCTCCAGAAACTGCCAAATGTCCCTTGTGGGAGGCAAAATTGCTCCTCCCTGTAGAGAAGTACTGTCCCAGAGGCCTGGGTCCCTGAGGAAACGGTGAGGTAGAGGAATAGTGGAAAGGGAATTGTCAGTCGCCCCTGAGTCCAGATGGAGTTGCAGGGGAAGGCCTGATTCTGCCTCAGTTTCCCCATCCTGCAGGCTGCATTGCCTGGGAGGCAGGCTGCCCAGGTCTGAGCAGTCAGTGTTTGGCCTGACTCCATGGAGCCTCATTAATCTCCCGTTAGTCACATTAATGAGCAGTTGGCCTCCTGTCCTCTTCCCACCTATCCCAGCCCTGCCTAGGGATGAGTCACTCTAGGCAACAAGAGGAACCCACGTGCCCAGGCCTCTCATCCTCTCATGAGCCCTGCTGCCCCAGGGCCCTGGCCTCCTGCCCCCAGGTCCTGGCCACTCCACCCCCTCTGCTGCCCACTTCCCTCAGAAAGGCATCAGCCAGCTCTGGCTTCCACTCCAACCAGGCGAGTAAGCATTTATTGATTGCTTCCTGTGTGCCAGGCACTGTCCTGGGGCTTATGACACAGCCGTGATTGAGAAAAACTGCCCACGGGTGCTTACTTTCTGTCGGCCCACAGTGAGCAATCAGAGAACACTAGAGAAGTGTGGGACTTCTCTCTCCTAGAGAGCCAGGCAGCCTGTCCTCCCCTTCTCCAGCCCCAGGCACTGCCACTGGGGAGACAAGAGACAGTCTCTAAGCTAACGCTTGCTCTAGCAGGGAATGAGGAGGAAGAGCGGGGAGCTCCCAGAAACGAGGTGCCTGCATTTCTGTATAGGGGTGCACGGGGGCTTGGAGGCAAAGAGACAGCCACTGGGCTGAGGCGGGAGGGGACGCGGGTAGAGCGAGGCAGAAGCCCTGTACCCTAGCATCTGCCAATGGTCTCGGCCTCAGTCTCTCTGGGTGGCCATATGGTCTGCATCCCTGGGGTCCTGTCTGTCTTGTCTCTGTCACTGCCTCTGCTGTCTCCCCATCTTGTTGTGTCACCTCTGGACATGGCGGAGCACCTGTCCCTGCAGCAGCATGAGCGGTTTTCCCTTCTTTGCTCTTTCACCTGCTCCTCACCGACGGCTCCACCCAGGGTGGACAGAGTGGCCATGTGTGAGCAAGGGGTGTGGGAGCTGGGCTGACAGGCAGGAGGGCGTGCATGAAGCTGGAGATGGATCAGGATGAGAACCTGCTGCCAGAACCCCCACCCTGCCTGCCTCCAGCCAGAGCTCAGCGCTTCTAGAACCCAGCCACTCACTCCCCACCCCCCCAGAGCCCTGAAGGCCACCCCCGCCCCAGCCTCTTCCCTCCACTGGGGCTGGGTCAGGAGTCTGCCCCGTCCCGGTTCCTTTTCCCTGCCCCCAGATCGCACCCCTCCGGCAGGCACCCAGGCACCCAGCCCCATGACGCAGAGGCAGCTGCGGTCTCCCGTTATCAGGGCACCCCTGTGGGGTGTGGTGGAACCATTTGTTTAAGGTTTAGTCCCGAGGGGCCCCAGCCCCCATGACGTCAAGCCTGGCTCCATATAAGGTGGAGGGTCCCCAGCCCACGGTCCCCAAGCAGCTGCCCAGCTCTGCAGCATGAAGCTGGCCCACAGCCTCGACTCCACGTTTGGCCTCCGGTGCTGCCTCCTCTTCCTTCTAGCTTCTTGGGAGGCAGGTAAGATGCCCCCAGGGGTGAAGGGGTCACCACTGCACAGGGATGGAAGACAGAGGGCTTGTTTCTTAGTATTCACAGGATTTGATGGCCAATCATAGAAATGAATGAAGGCAGGTGGGCACAGTTGTCTAGAATGTTCACTGCTCCTTTCCAGGCTAAGGGGCATGTAGGAGACGAAATCCAGCTCTGCTCCTTAAGACGTGGCTCTCAGGGCTGCACCATCCAGGGGGATTCTTCAATTTTGCATAAAGGCACTGCATGGGCTGTCAGCCCTGGGTGGGCAGGGGCGGGGGCCTGACACTGAGCACCTGCCCCTGCAGGGAACTCCCATATGCTGGTGGCGGTGTGCCTCAGTCCATGTCTTCAACATTGTTGAGACGGTTAATAACATCCCATTCTATAGTCGCAGAGTGAGACTCAGAGAGGTTAGGGGCTTGTGCCCAGTCACACAGCTAGAGGGAGGCTAGCAGGAGTTCCACCCACACTGCCAGCGCCCTGGTGCCGGGGTAGGGGGTGGGGGTGAGCCGCTCTCCTGAGATCGCTGTTCTGTGCAGACTTAGGCTGTACTCCCAACTGACGCATTTCACTAGTCTGACCCCCACATCACCCCCAGGGCCACCTGGCCGACAGCCCAGTTAACTTACTGAGCAGAACGCGTAGCCAGACTCCTTCCGGGCACTTCATCCACGTTCGCTTACTTAACCCACGGCAACTCAAGGAGCGTGCCAAAGGCTCTGTTCCTGCCAACTTTCTGAGTTAGGAAGATCTCGGCTCAGATGAGAAAGTGTGTATGGAAAAGTGCGATGAGCAAAACGGACCCTAAAGATAAGAGGCAATTGCTCAATTCGTTCACTTAGTTGAGACACAGTTGTGCGACTGAACCCAGGGAGCAGAGATGCCAAACACGGGGCAGTTTGGAGGCCTGAGCGATCTGGAGGAGGGTCCCCCGAAGGTAGACACACGGCGCACGGTCAGAGAGACTGCATGCTGGCGGTGTCATTGTGGCCGCACTGGCCGCCACACCAGGGCTGGGAAAGTCGTGAGTCTGGCCTGCTCCGGGCAGGCAGCACCTTCTTCTTCTAGCAGTGCCTGACCGAGGTTGATACGAGGGGCAGCGCTCCTGCCCTGAGCTCGGGGCCATGCTGGGGACAGGCGGATGGTGGCAGGGGCAGGGGCTGAGTCTCCGATAGGCCTCGGCAGTGCGTCCCGTCCGTGCCCCGCCTCGATGCCCGTCCCCCTCCGTCGAGGGTCCGGGGACAGAGGCCACAGAGCTGCCCTCCGCCTCCGGCCCCCGACCTCGCCCGCCTTCGCTTCCCCTTCCCGCCAGGCAGTCGGTCCGCGGGCTGCTCTCTGCCGCTCTGTCGCTGCCGGGGAAGAGGAACCGCAGGGGCAGAAAGGAGCGAGTCAGGAGTCAGCTCTACACCCTCTAGCTCCGCGCGAGGGTCGCTCTCGGGCAAAGCGCAGGCGCCGGCCCGACAGGCGACGCCGCAGGGCTGCGTGGGTGTAGCCGGCCGGCTGGAGGGAGCGGCGGAGGGGGCGAGAGGAGCTGGTCGCTTGGGTTCTGCAGAGCGGAGCGACAGGGTGATGGGTGGGGAGGGCCTGAGGACGGGGCGGGGCGGGCACCTGGCTGTGCCCAGCAGACAGTGAGGCCAGGGTAGGGAGGGAAGAGTGACCGGGGTGAATGAAGCCCCCCGTTCTGGGGCACAGCCTGCCACTGGTCCCCAGGACCAGTCAATACCCGCGCTCGGATGACTAGATCCTGGAAACGCAGAGTTCGCGTCATGCAGAGCCACAGTGCAGAGTCTGAGTGGATCGTCCCAAGGAAGCACAGGTGGCGCAGGCGATGGGAATCGCGGCTGGGGTCCTGGGAACAATCTAACAAGGACATTTTCCTTCCGCAAATGTTATTTGATTTAACTTCCATGACAAAAATAATGTATGCTCATTATAGAAACTGGAAAACAGAAAAAATTAGAAAGAAAACAAAATCTCTCCAAATACTCTCTAGTCCCCAGGCAATCATTGGCGTACGTTTCCGTTTAGCCTTTCTTTTTCTACGTTTGTGTTTTAGGTCACCTATTGAGCTCATACTGCATAGACGTTTTAATAAGCATTTCCCCACAGTATTGCACATGGAATGTACCATGTTGAGGGCCTGGGGAGGCAGGACACTGAGACGACGGGAAACACTAGGAATGTTCTTTTGGGTGAGGCTGCTCGGCAGAGACTCCGAGGTGTGTGTCACTTAGCAGGATGTCCTCTTTTTCAAACAAGTGAACAAAGCCGATGGAAGAGACCTTTGGAATTGGACATAGTTTTGATGTTGTGGGATTTGTTTTCATTCTTTTGTCCAGGTTAAACATCCACCTACAGTATCTTATGCTAAAGCTAGATTTTTCTCTATGCACCCCCTGCCTATACTTCAGTGATCGAAACAGTTGTTTTCAGGCCATTACTGTAGTAAGTGAAATGAATATCTCATGGTGAAATAAAGTTGCTACCAACAGTAGATCTACTGGGAAGAAGAGATGGTCATCTTAGCCTGGGGGGTGGGGGGGTGGTGAGTCACTGCTTTACCTCATGGCTGGGCTCGGGGTCAAGGAATCCTTCAAGCTCAACTCCACATGTACAATCTATGGTTCCACAACTGTTCAAGGCAGACCTGGAATTCTAAGATCTAGTCATCTGAGTCTGGTCACTGACTGTGATCCTGTGGTTAAATGACGACTGGCATCTTGGAATTGGGCCAGAGGCCTTCTTTTTTTTCCTTCTTTCTTTTTTCTTTTCTTTTTTTACTGGAAATTCCCTTATCTTCTGAGAGAAAATTACCTCTGTTGTTTAAGCCACTTGGGCTGTCATACTTAGTTTTAGCAGCCCTAGCACACTGACATACTCTCCAGTGCTATGTCAACATATTTTGAGACAACATGACTTGCAGTCCCATCATTACTACTTCATTATCAAGCTACTGAAGTCTTCCTGGCCCGATTTTAATTACTTTTGTCCCTCTCTTCCTGTTACTAACCTAATTTCCTCCTCAATGTGACACAGAACCATAATGCCGTCCTGCCTGCCTTTCCTTACTTACTCAGTCTGAGGAAAACAGGTTCATCCTCCACAAAATCACACACTCAGCTCAGTTCTTCATCTGATCCTTGCTGCTTTCCCCAAGCTTGTATGCCTTTAATTATTCTCTCTTTCTCTAGTACATTAATGTCTCTGTCAAAGGATCTTTCTTCTCTAACTACAAAAACATTCGGTTTTACCTGTTTAGTCTCACTTCTCTGTATGTAGGGCCACTAGCCTATTGTTCTCTTAAAGCACTAAACTTCTGGAAAAATAGTCTGTGTTCAGCCTCTGCATCCTCATCACCAATTCACTCCTTCCCACATCCCCATCTGAATTTCATCCCAAACGTTTGGCTCAAACTGCAACCTCTGATGTCACTGGTAACCTTTTTTATGACTGTCAAATCTAGCAGTCTCTTCTCACTTCTCATTCTCCTTGATCCATCTGCCCTCTTTCTCAATGCAGTATTGGTGTTTTTTCTTTCTCTCAAACCTTTCCTTCTTTGCCTCTTGCATTAATTCTACTTCTAAAAATATTCATTGAACCCCCGTTACGTTTCAGAAAAAGGCTAGTTCCTATCTTTAAAGAATTTGCTGTTTCTCTTCCCTACCTGAAGTGTACTTTCCCATGTTTAAATGTAAATTGCTTCCCAAAGATCAATCCTTGATATCGTCTCAGTTTTATGGTCTTTCTCATAGTATGAGACTAATGATTTCAAATAGGGCTTCGAGGCAAATAAAGCCCAAAACCTTATTTCTTTCCCATCATTCTCACTACACTTTTCTACCAGCTTGTTCCTCTAATATAAATTCAACATGTTGTCAATCTTGAATAATGGGATTCAGAAAATGTGATTAAGTACAGAGTTTATTAGAGCCCAAAGCTTGAGGATGACCATATGGGAGGCATAGATTCAGATTGCCCTCAATATACACTTCAATTAACAGGTACAATTGGGTTTTTTTTTTTTTTATTTCAGCATGTTATGGGGGTACAGATGATTAGGTTATGTATGATGCCCTTACCCTCCCTCCCCCCCAAGTCCTACAGTTGGGTTTTTAAGGAAAAAAGAAGAGGCAGTTCCTAAGTTGTTTACCAAGAATTTACATTAAAACAACATAAGCTATTGATTGACTACACATTGTTCTTTGTATAACAATACTAGGAACATAAAAATAATGGATGAGACAGCTAGTCAGAAACAAAAATGGGTGGGGTATAGGGGGAGAGGGGTCATGACTGAAGTCCCATACTCATGTCTCTCTAGGCCTGATAAATTTTGCATACCTCACATAGCTCAGGCTTCTCTGAACTATTTTTCTTTTCTCAATGTCTAAAACTAAACTTTTTCAGTTAACAAACTATCCCTACCAAAATCGTGCATTGAAAAAGACAGAATATACAATATTAAACACTTGGTAGACTTGACCGTTAGGTTAAAACAAATAATATGAATTTTAATGTGGATAAATGCAAAGCCCTACAAATACCTATTGTACAGATACAAATATGAGAGACCAATTCTTAAAAAGGAATCTATAAAAGAGACATGAAGCCAGGCATGGCGGTACACACACCTGTAGTCCCAGCTACTCTGGAGGCTGAGGTGGGAGGATGGCTTGAGCCCGGGAGTTTGACACCAGCCTGGGCAACATAGTGAGATTCCATCTCTTAAAAAAAATTAAATTTAAATTTAAAAAAAAGAAAAAAGGAAATATAAAAAGAGACTACATCAAAAAGCTAGTAAATCTCAGATTATATTAAGATAGCATAGTATCTACGAGAAGGAAATGTATTCCATTATTCTCTGGGCAGATGAAACTAGAGTCAAACTTTTAAAATAGTTGCTGGAGCTTAGCTACAGCTAGCAGAGAAGATCAGTAAAAACAATCAGAAGGGAAGGAATCTGGAAATCATTTCCTATGACAAAATATTTTAAAAAGAGAAAAAAGAACTACTTTGGGTCAAATAGCTTGAAGTGCTTAAAAAGCTGGTATATGAAAATGTAGCTATAGAGAGCAAAACACGTGATAAAGTCCAACTCAAAAAATGGAAGACGTTTCTAACAAAGATGTTAAATATACATATATTGTTGTCATATAATAGCTTCTGTATCGCAAACTTCAGATTCAAATAGTATTGAATACCAATACTGGTTCAGCAACAACCACCCAGTCATCCTGGAGAAGTTATTTACTTTTCTGAGCCTCATCTCCTCATATATAAAATTGGGTAGAATTATTCTGGGTTGTTATGAAGATTACACATAATACATGTGAATCATTTGGCTTTTATTATTATAATTTTTAACAATGTATAGGTGGAAATTTTGAAAAAATTAGCTCTAAGTTCCTCTATAATTCTAAAATTCTATGATTCCAGATTTGCTGAGAGCCTGGCCAAAAAATATAACATTGTTTAAATGCATTTGTTTTTCTACATCACAAAACAGTTCTTTTATTCCTGTATTAGTCAGAGTTCTCCAGAGAAAGAGAACCAATGGGGCATGTGTGCATATATTTGTATTTATATATTTATATATGTATATATATGTATTTATGTGTGTGTGTG